AATAACAAGAGTAACAATTTATTTAGGGCTTACCATATGCTTTACATAATTACCTCACTTAATGTTCACAACTTTATAAAATATAGGAACCCATTTTGCAGATGAGGAAAACCGAGACTGAAAGAGTTCTAATTATAAATTGAACAACCCTAATCTGAAAATCCAAAATCTGAAACACTTTATGCACTAACATGAAGCCACAGTGGAAAATTCCCCATCTGATCTCATGTAACAAGTCAGTCAAAACATAGGCACAAAACAGTTTGTAAGCCGGGCTTGGGGGCTCAGCCTGTAATCCCGCGCTTTGGGAGGCTGAGGTGAGTGGATTGCCTGAGCCAGCGAGTTCGAGACCTGCCTGGGCAACTTGGTGAGACCTCATCTCTACAATAAATCAAAACATCAGCCGGGCGTTGTAGCGCATGGCTGTAATTCCAGCTACTCGGAAGGCTGAGGCGGAAGGATCGCCGGAGCCCAGCAGGTCGAGGCTGCAGTGGCTGGGAGCGGCCACTGCACTCCAGTCTGGGCAACAGAGTGAGACTCCAACTCAAAAAAAAAAAAAACAGTTTGTACAGCATTCCTAAGATAAAAAAAAGAACTTCCCAGGCCCTTAGCTCCTTAGTTGCAGTATAGCTTTTCCATTCAAAGTCAGACTCCTCCATGAAAGCACACTCACAAAGGATTATAAGATGGCACATGTGCAGGCTGGGTGAGCCAGCGGCTGGTACCCCTGACGCCCGACAAGGGGCCAAGACCTACATGCACTATTGTTTTTTGGTTATTCTTTGCTCTGTGGTGGAAAGATATTGTTGAAAGTGCCAAACAGGCCCGAAGATACCTCTATGGGTAACAGTGATCAGAAAAGGCAACATTATGTTGACCCATTGCGCAGAAGGTCAAGCTGTTGGAGACACTGAATGGCAACACGAGGGTGGAACTTCTTACAACAGAGCATAGTGTTGGAATGACCACCAGAGATGACAGAAGAATAAACTGGAAGTTCTATGCTGAAAGGAATGAAAGAAAGTTAATACAGAACAGGAAAACAATGCATCAAGCTAAAACTGAAGATTGTGTATTGAAAGACAGGATCCATCAGTGAAGCAGTGAACACAGGCCTCTTACTGGCATGCTAATCATGAAACAAGCAAGGTCAAGTACGAGGAACTGAAGATGGAAGGAAACTGTAAATATTCAACAGGCTGGTTGCCTACTTTTTTTTTTTTAAGTTGGGATCTCACTCTGTTGCCCAGGCTAGAGTGTAGTGGCATGATCATAGCTCACTGCAGTCTCAAATTGCTGGGCTCAAGCGAGTCGCCCACCTCAGCCTCTTGAGTAGCTGAGACTACAGACATGCACTACCATGACCAGATAATTTTTTGTAGAGATGAGATCTCACATTTTGCCCCATATGGTCTCGAACTCCTGGGCTCAAGCAGTCCTCCCACCTCAGCCTACCACAGTGCTGGGATTACAGGCATGAGCCACTACACCTGGCACAAAACTTTTTAAAACTTTTAAGTCACAGTGTTGGCCAGGTGCCATGGCTCGCACCTGCAATCTCAGCACTGTGAGGGGCAGAGGTGAGAGATTGTCTGAGCTCAAGGGTTCGAGACCAGCCTAGGCAACTTGGCGAGACCTCATCTCTACAATAAATCGAAAAATAAGCCGGGCGTGGTGGCACGTGTCTGTAGTTCCAACTACTTGGAAGACTGAGGTGGAAAGATCACCTGAGCCCAGCAGGTTGAGGCTGTAGTGGCCGTGACTGTGCCACTGCACTCCAGCCTGGGTGACAGAGTGAGACTCTGACTCAAAAATAAAAAAGACAAAGTGCTAACTTTTAAAAAAGTTTTGTGGTGATAAAACATCTACTGATCAAAAAGCAGTGGAGAAATTCATTGAGGAATTTGCCAAGGTCATTACTAGTGAAAATCTGATGTCAGAACAAGTCAACGATGCTGATAAAACATCTCTGTTTTGGCATTTTTGCCCCAGAAAGACATTTCTTGACTACAACTGATGAGACAGCACCTACAGGAATTAAGGATATTAGAACAGAATAACTGTTTTGGGATGTGCTAATGCAGCAGGTGTGTGTAAATGTAAATTTTTCCTAATAGATAAAAACTTGTATCCTCACTAGCTTCATTACTAAGGAGTGAATTTCTTACCAGTACATTACTATGCTAACAAAAAGCATTGATCACCAGGAACATCTTTTCTGATCCGTTTCACAAATATTTTGTGTCTGCAGCTCATACAGGGAAGGCAGATTGGATGATTACACCAAGGTTGTTATTCCTTGACAACTGTCATGCTGAATGTCCAGCTGAAATGTCCATCAAAAATAATGTTTACACCGTGCACATTTCCCCAAATATGACTTCATTGATTCAGCCATGTGACTAGGGTATCCTCAGATCAATGAAGAGTAAATAAAAAGACACTTTTTTGAACAGCCAGCTAGCAACAATGAAAAGAGGCATGGGTATGGAAGATGGTTAGAAGGGGTTTAGCATGAAGGAGGATGCCATATATACTGTTGCCAACGCTTGGAACACAGTGGTGAAGACAGGGTTGTGCATGCCTATAATCCCAGCACTTTGGGAGGCAGAGGTGAGAGGATTGCCTGAGCTCAGGGATTCAAGACCAGCCTGGGCAACTTGGTGAGACCTTGTCTCTACAATAAATAAAAAAAATTAGCTGGGTGTGGTGACATGCACCTGTGACTCCATCTACTTGGAAGGCTGAGGTGGAATGATCACCTGAGCCCAGCAAGTTGAGGCTGCAGTGGCCCTGAGTATGCTACTGCACTCCAGCCTGGGTGACAGAGTGAGACTCCAACTCCAAAAAAAAAAAATCAATTAATTAATTAATTAAACTAGGGAAAGCTTTCAGACATTTTTCCTTATGGGCACATCAGATCTAACCACCCTGTTAGCTAGAGTGCAGCTGACTCATGTAGACTCATCAGTGTAGCCCACTCTTTCAGCCATGAATAATGGTGATGCCAAACAACCACTAATTGTCCACATGGGTGACTGAGATAGTGGTACCTTAGCTTTCTAATGGATCAATGCACACAAACATTGTTTCATGCAGGAGATTACTAAAAATAGTGTGTAAAATTACCTTCAGGATATGTGTAAAGGTGTATACGAAACATAAATGAATTTTATGTTCAGACCTGTGTCCCATCCCCAGGATATCACCTTAGATATGCCAGGTACAGAGGGTCCGGAGGGGGCACAGCACCACTGGAGCTGGCGGGCCGGAGGTGTGCTCTGGTAACCAGAGAGCCAAGTAACACAAAGATTTGCAGCACACCAAGAGATGAAGAACGAAAATATTTATTTAAGAAAAGATCACAGCCGGGCTTGGTGGCTCAGCCTGTAATCCTGCACCTTTGGGAGACTGAGGTGAGTGGATTGCCTGAGCCTGTGGGTTCGAGACCCAGATGGGCAGTGAGACCTCATCTCTATAATAAATCAAAAAATCAGCCGGGCGTGGTAGTGCACGCCTATAATTCTGGCTACTTGGAAGACTGAGGCGGAAGGATGGCCGGAGCCCAGCAGGTCGAGGCTGCGGTGGCCGGGAGCGGCCACTGCACTCGAGTCTGGGTGACCGAGTGAGACTCCAACTCAAAAAAAGAAAAAAAAAAGAAAAGATCACTTCCCACAGACAGGAAGATGGCTGGCACTCTAAGATGAGTGTGGCTCTGAAGGCTGGGGAACTGGGTATATTTAAAGCTCTTGGAGAGCAGTTTGGATCAAGGAGATTGTTTAAAGTTGCACTTTTTTTTTGAGTTGGAGTCTCATTCTTATTGCCCAGATTGGAGTGCAGTGGCATGCTCACGACCACTGTAGCCTCTACCTGCTGGGCTGAGACGATCCTTCCGCTTCAGCCTTCCAAGTAGCTGGAACTACAGACGTATGCCACCACGCCTGGCTAGTTTTTGTGATTTATTGAAGAGACGAGACCTCACCAAGTTCACCAGGCTGGTCTCGAACCCCTGAGCTCAGGCAATCCTCTCGCCTGGGCTCCCAAAGTGCTGGGATTATAGGCTGAGCCACCATGCCTGGCCTAAAGTTATACTTTTTGATGTAGACTAACAGAAATCACAAGTCTTGTGTCTTGGTATCACTTGGCCCTGATATCTCATGACTCCAGGTGGTGGACTGGAGACCGATCACAGTAAACTTATTAACAATACATCAAGGCCAGAAGCACAAATACTTTGCCGGGTGGATGATTTGTAGACCTTGAGGAAGAGGAGGGGGGTCTGCTTCACGATTAAAATGGGCAGACACTGGTCATGTTTGAGGGATCTGGGTTTCTGAAAAGATAAAGTCAGCAAAGTTAATCTTTACCTAAAGTATGTATTCCTCCTGGACACAGCTTTTACTTTCTCATTATTGTGTTAAGATTTAGGAACAAAACAAAGTGGCTTCTCGCTTTCGGTCCCTCCTTTCAATATGCAAATATTCCAAAATCTGAAAAAAAACCCCCAAATCCAAAACACTTCTTTCTGATCCCAAGCATTTCAGATTAGGGATACACAACCTGTAGTCGCCTGTCCAAGGTCACTTAGGTATCAGCTGGCTGAGATCAATCTGTCCTCACGGCTCAGAACTCTTAAGCCATGATTCTGTTGGGTTTGTATAAATTCTATTTATTTACGTTGTTTCAGAATAAATTTGCGTCATAACCTGAATAATTGGTTTAATAATTGGCAGTCTCGTCAGGCAGGAACCACTAGGCCTTGAGACCGTGTGGGAGGAGAGGACGTCAACCGGGTCCGGAAATTCAAAGACCTGCCAACTCAGCGAGCTTTCAAAAACTATTTTTGGAAAACCTAGTGCCACGGGTCAACCGGTGACGCCTGTAGTTGCTAGCACTATCCACAAGGAGGAAGCCGACGCCACGCTACGCTGCGCGGCGCCGCTGCAGACACGCCTCTCTTCCATATCTCTCCGGTTAGCCTGGGAACAGAACCCGCCTCCTGGCCCATAAGGCCCTGGGCCGGAAGCTCCGCTTTCTCTTCCTGTTCTCCATCATGGCGGTGAGTATCTGGGCCTGGGGTTTGCTTTCTTTCATCCGTTGCCATCCACCGCCGGCTGAGCCCGCGGGGTCTGCCTCGCTCGCATTCTGAGGGAGATGGATCCCGCAAGGCTGGCCGGACCGAAACTGGCAGAGCTGTGCGGGCAGAGGACGCGGAGCGGGACCCTGTCACTTCTCCCTTCCTTCCTGCAGCAAGCTCGGGGCAGCTGCCGAAGAGCTCAGGCTTCGCCCACGGGCTGCAGCAAGGGCAAGTGGGGCCAGCAGAAGGTTTCGGGACATGGGGTCTGGGCCTTTTTCTGGTCCCGGAAACGTGAGACTTGCCCGGTTCTGGGAAACCTCAGCCGGTTGTTCTTTTTTGCTTAGGGAAGGCGACTTCCCGCTGTTTCGGATTGGGGTGCAGGACGTCGCGTAACCACGTGCTTCCTATTTTCTCGGCAATTAAGTTCTCTGTTGCCCACCCTCAATCGGCCTTGTAACGGAGGCGGTCTTCATCATCCCACACACTGAGCCTTTCGGGGTCCGTTCTGTGTCCGTAACTGTCCTGAGCTCGTCTTCATCCATTCCGTTCGTGGAGGAGGAGAAAGTCCCGAGGTGACTGCTTCCTCGGTGCTTCCCAGACAGACACAGTGAAGCCCTTGGGGTTTTCGTTACTTTCTGGAATAAGCAGGAGTAAACATGCTGTGCAAATGAGAAGTAATGAGGACCTTGGTTGTCAGCCGGGATGGGGTCTTGAGTGCATTGACGATTGTCCTTCTCTTTTGCAGCAGGATCAAGGTGAAAAGGAGAACCCCATGCGGGAACTTCGCATTCGCAAGCTCTGCCTCAACATCTGTGTGGGGGAGAGTGGAGACAGACTGACCCGGGCAGCCAAGGTTTTGGAGCAGCTCACAGGCCAGACTCCTGTTTTTTCCAAAGGTGAGCAAAGGGGAGGGCTCCTGTCTTTTCCAGACAGACTCCTGTGTTTTCCAAAGGGGAGGGCTAGCCACTTGGTTCGCCTGTTGGTTTCTTATTGTACCTGCTCTTGAGCCTGTTCAGAAGGTGACAGCCAGCATCCCTTAAAGCATTAAACTCATGAGCCAAACAAGAAGTGTCTTCTTTTTGAGATTGAGTGTTGGGTTGCAATACCAGGTTTTATGTGATCAGACCTTAAACTAAGACTCGTCTGAGTAAGAGTCTTTAAGTAACAAGGATATGAGGTAGAGTGGAAATGTCTAATGTAGTAAAGAGCATTAGGCCTGGTTGGCAGTTAGGGTTATACAGGCTGCATTAGAACAGGACTGTATGTTTGTGTAGACTCCCTTGGTTCGAATCCTGGCTTCACACTTGCTAGTCTGTGAATTTGGGCTTTCTGGACCTCAGCTTCCTTATTTGGATGAAGGGGGTAGTAATACTGTATAAGATTGTGGAGGATAAAATGGGATGTCTATGTGAAGTTGGTGTGAGTTTTTTTGCTTTAGGGTAGTGAAATATGGTGAGTTCTTGGGTCCGGATCCTGTTTTTTATTACCAACTATGATCTTGGGCAAGTTGATAAACTCTGAATCTTACCTGTAAGATAAGAATAACAATACAATAAGGTTTCAGTAAATACTAGCTATTCAGAATAACACTTTGTTTTCTTTAGAACACAACACAACAATAATCTTTCTTACTAGAGGCCTCTTTGGCTTACCCTGGTTGTGAACTTGCCCTCCCTGAAGCTTTGGCGTTAGAACTTAAGAGTTCTTTTTTTTTTTGAGTTGGAGTCTCATTCTGTCGTCCAGACTGGAGTGCAGTGGCCGCTCCTGGCCACCGCAGCCTCAACCTGCTGGGCTCCGGCGATCCTTCTGCCTCAGCCTTCTGAGTAGCTAGAATTACAGGCAGCGCTACCAATAAATTTTTTGGTTTATTGTAGAGATGAGGTCTCGCCAAGTTGCCCAGGTGGGTCTCGAACCCGCAGGCTCAGGCAGTCTGCTCACCTCAGCCTCCCAAAGCATGGGATTACAGGCTGAGCCACCAAGCCCAGCTAGGACTTAAGAGTTCTTAATTGCTGAAGTATGGCTGGATGACTGGAGGTTGGAAGCTGTTTTCTGTCCTGTGAATGAAATCGATCAATAAATGTGGGTGAACACATACTACAACACAGAGTGCGGCTGGATACTTAATATCTCCTTGAGTCCTGGTGATGGAGTTTTAGGGGAAGAAGTAAGTACAGTGGGCGTATGACAACATCCCTGTTACTTCCTGACTGCAGCTAGATACACTGTCAGATCTTTTGGCATCAGGAGAAATGAAAAGATTGCCGTCCACTGCACAGTTCGAGGGGCCAAGGCAGAAGAAATCCTGGAGAAAGGGCTGAAGGTAAGACTGATCCCCTCATGGGGTGGTATTGATCAGCACCCACTAACACATGTAGGTGACTACAGTAGCTGTAGTTACACTTAGTGTACTGTTCTCTGGTGCCCTGGTATATATTTGCTTGAGTTTCTAAAAGGCTTTTTTTTATACTCAGCAGGGTTTAACTGTTTTCTTTGGTGGTTTAAAAGATGCCTGGGAGTTGATGCTTTTGCTGTCTCTGAGGTTTTCTCTGCACTTTGGAATATGGAAGATTCCAAGAACTCTGTAGTTGGAATATAATTTGGTTAGTGGGAAAGTCAAAGAATGTATTCCTGCCGGGCTCGGTGGCTCAGCCTGTAATCCCGCGCCTTTGGGAGGCTGAGGTGAGTGGATTGCCTGAGCCTGCGGGTTCGAGACCCGCCTGGGCAGTGAGACCTCATCTCTACGATAAATCAAAAAATCAGCCAGGCGTGGTAGCGCGCGCCTGTAGTTCTGGCTACTGGGAAGGCTGAGGCAGAAGGATCACCGGAGCCTAGCAGGCGAGGCTGTGGTGGCCGGGAGCAGCCACTGCACTCCAGTCTGGGCGACTGAGTGAGACTCCAACTCAAAAAAAAGAATGTTTTTTCCAGCCAAGTTACATCGAATTGTATTTTTGCTTTGGAGTGCTGAATATTGTGGTTGATCTACTTATTTTGGGCAAATTGAAGCTGACAGGAAATGTTATTGCTGCATTTCTCCCCTCAGGTGCGGGAGTATGAACTAAGGAAAAATAACTTCTCAGATACTGGAAACTTTGGTTTTGGGATCCAGGAACACATCGATCTGGGTATCAAATATGACCCAAGCATTGGTATCTACGGCCTGGACTTCTATGTGGTATGACTATTTAATCTTTTCCTCTCCTGGTGTATAAGGAGAGGGGAGTCTATTCCTTCATTTTGTTTGTGCTATCTTGATGTTCAGGTGTTGGTTAAAGCTTTTGTGTGTTGTCTGCCTGTGTGTTCTCCCCCTTGGGAAGATGTGCCATGTTTGTGGCGAGTGTAGGAGTAGAGTACTGAATTCACAAGATGAACGGGATCCTTGCTGTTGTGAGTTCACAGTCTAGGATTTATAAAGCATCAGTGTAGCTTAAAGGTGAATGAAGGCATTTGTTCCATGCAGTCAGTGATTTGAAAGGTTTTTGAGAGGTGGTACGAGTGCTACAGGGGCCTGTGGGTCGGCGGCACTGAGCCTGCTCCTCCCTCACGTCTTCACTTAGACCTAGGGTGTAAAAACAGGTTTGGATGATGCGGTGATTTGCTCAGGGTGAGGATTTTAATGTAGAAGTGACCATTTGTGTTACTGAAATGTAAGTAGCCAAAACCAGAAGCCTTAACTAGTGTGGAATGTGAAAGACAGTGGCACCCTCCTTAACATTTGAACGTCCAAACTAATGGGAATTGGTTACTCATAGGGGTTTGGGGGCAGCAAGCCTTTGGGAAGCATTTTTGAGCTGAAGCAGAAGGAAATATATATATTTCTTTGTGCTCAGAGTTTTAGGTTTGCTGTAATACATGTGTTGCAATTTTTAACTGTTATTTCAAGAAGAAAGGTGCTTTGGAGATTGAGAAGCAGTAGTGGCGAATCCTTAGCACCACTAAAAGATATTTAGGGAGGGGAAAGGTGCTGAAAGTTCCAGGCTCCAGAGCAATCCTGTAGTAAGGCCATATTGTCCAAGATGCCAGTCACAGTTCCTGCCAAAACTGAGATCAGGGTCTTGCTTCAGAATCCACTCAGCTGCCAGGTGACTCTTGGTGATCAGTCTCCAGTGTGTGAGTCTTGTCCATCTGCTCTTGACTCTGAGCTGGCTAGGTGACTGTTGATTATTCCTGGGACAGGTGCTGGGTAGGCCAGGTTTCAGCATCGCCGACAAGAAGCGCAGAACAGGCTGCATTGGGGCCAAACACAGAATCAGCAAAGAGGAGGCCATGCGCTGGTTCCAGCAGAAGGTAAAATTGATTTATCTCCCGTGGAGTGGTGGTATGTAGTGTTGGTGAATGGAGTTGGGATTTAGGGGTGCAAAGTATAGTACTGTTCGGTGGGTAGCTTCTAAAGTAAGGATACTGGGCAGCTTGGCAGATGGGGGGCTTCGAGGGTTGGTGGTTTAAAGGAACATCCAGAACTGGGCTTTCTCCCCACCCTGTGAATGTGGACAGCTGGAAGAGGGGAGCTGCCTTTTCTCAGGTTATTATGCAGTTGAGCACACTGTAACAGTTAAAACCAGCCAGCTTCCTGTTTAGTCCAGAAAGGATGTGGGATTTAGAGGCAAAGTTCATGTATCAGATTTGAATTCTGTGTTAGCCATTGCTGCGATCTTTGCTGTTGCCTCCTATCCTGAAAAAATAAAATCTCTTCTCTTTCAGTATGATGGGATCATCCTTCCCGGCAAATAAATTCCCGTTTCTATCCAAAAGGCCAATAAAAAGTTTTCAGTGAAATGTACATTACTGTTGTGTATTCTGTGAAAGGATCCTGGCCATATTCAAGTCCTTGGACCTCAAGCCACTTAAAGCTTCGATGGGAATAGCTGGTAACAACCCTGTCATCCTCTAATTGGATGCCAGTGTTTCCTGTAACATTGCCTGTGTTTGCATCCTTGTTGATGTACTGTGGTCAGTAGTCCCGTTGAAACTGATTGGGGGGGGTATGGTTGGGGTTTGAATTTAGAGCCTGGATTCAAGGCAGGGTGCAGTGATCCCATGTTGCAGTGATTCTGTTTCTGCTAGAAATTTTTTCAGCACCGATGTGTAGTAAAGGAGTCATAGACTTTGATGTGATAGTTGAGAATAAATTTCCCCTAACTGTGGCTCAGGCTACTTTTTAAGTGAGGAGGATCCATACGGTTGTTGAGGGTCAATATATGTAGATAGAGGTGAAAAGGAGAACCCCATGCGGGAACTTGAGGCAAATTGTCTGGATTGGATTCCTAGCCCTGCCCTTGACTTTAACTGTGTTACCTGTTACCTTGAGTGAGTTATTAATCTGCCACAGTTTTCTATATCTGTATCAAGGAGGCAGTAATAATATCCTTCAAAAGGGTAAACAATTTAGTGCCTATCAAATGCTTAGACTAGTGCCAGGCACATCGTGTTCAAAAAGAGTTTAGTTTTTGTGTTTTGGTATGTGTGAAATGTTGCTTCTACAAGTTCACTTTCCTTTGGTATGAAAATGGAAATTTTTTTGCTTGTGATTTTTCTAGATCTCACCGAAGCCAACTTTCAGAAGCCATCATTCCTCTCACACAGTACTTGGTCATTGGTTCATCATTTTCAATTTGGGGTTTAAATTTTGAGCACTTGTTAATTCCATTCAATAATTCACTCATTTGTGACTAAGTAGAGTTCATTTGTCCTTGGGCCACCTTTTTATTGCTGGTAAGAGGTTTTCTAACTTGTTTGCTGCTTTTGTAGGTATTTTAAAACCTGGAGATTATTTGGTGTACCTAACTTTTTTTTTTTCTTTTAATGAAAATGACTTGTTTTGTCATCCTGATAATAAAGTCCTCTTTCCCAGTAAGATCAGATCTACTTGGTTAAAAGGAAGAATTGTGGACTGTGTTGCCATGTACTTTTTGTTTCATTTAAGATATAAATGTGCATTCACTTCTCAATCTTTTACTATGGGGCCAGGGCCACCACCTCATAAACAAAGAAGGAGTTGAAAAAGTCAGATTCTGGTGACTCAGTTTCAATTTTGGGGGAGGAACCACACATGATTTTATTCAGTTCTGAATTAAGTAACTGTGATGAAGATGTTTGAGAACAAACTCTTGGTGAATAGATAGCTAATTACTGCAGGTTACTAACTGCAGCAGGGTTTGTTACATGTAACAGGAGATGGAGCACATAATGCTAGTTTCATCTAAAAGCATTTCAGAAAAAAATGTAGAAAGTTGTTCTAGTGCTACCTCCATCCTCATGCAGTCAAACTCCTGTTTGGTCATTAATTTTATTGATAAAAACAAGCTAAACCTTCATTTGGTCCTCCTGTGTTGTGTACTCAGTTCAGTTAACTTCTATTTAAAAACTAGCTGGGCATTTTGGGAGATGGTGGTGAGAGAATTGCCTGCGTACAGGGGTTTGAAACCAGCCTGGGCAACTTGGTGAAACCTCATCTCTACAATAAATTAGAAAATAAGCCAGGTGTGGTCCACAGGTGGCTGTGGACCTGGCTACTTGAAAGGCTAAGGCAGAAGGATCTCTTGAGCCCAGCAGGTCGAGGCTGCAGTGGCCATGAGTGTGAGTGAGACTCCTACTCACAGAAACAACACCTGGGCTCCTGGCTTGGTGGAATAAGCACTTTTGGGAGTATTGAGAGCTATCCAGATTTAAGTCCTAGCTCAACTACCATTGAGATTTAGGCTGCATCATGAAACATCTGGTGCAGTTGGAGACACTTCTGTAACCAGTTTAGAGCAGCCAGTGACTAAACAGCTTGTCCATATTCTGCTGGAAGCTTAACTTCCAAACAGGTGTCCCGCTGGGGTCTACAGTGTTGGTGTTTGTAGTTGAACTCGTACCCAGTGTGTAGATAGGATCATCTGGGAGTTGGTTAAAACTCTTGGCCACCTCAGACCTGCTGAATTAGCATCTGATTTTTAACAAGATCCAGATGATTTATATGCACACTAAAGTCTGGAAGCACTAACCAATCCTAATGGCAAAGGGAGGACATGCTAGCTAAGTAAATTTTCTTAATAAATGTACTTTTCTGAAGTTCTTGCTGTGTGGTTTTTTCCTCATTTCCCCAACTGGTACCCATGAGAGAATGTTAGGTGATCCTCTGCCTCAGTGTTGGTTGTGGCTGTCCAGTGACTATTGGCTGCTATTGGTGTTAGTGCCTACAGGTCAGGAATGTCGAACATTCTGCCATTAAAGATAATCCCACACAAACCAGGAAGTGTGAAGTGCAATGGTGTGAATCAAGTTTGGTCACAATTAAGCAAGTACATGATGAGGCTAGATTACAGTAATCTGCATGAGGATGGAGGTAGCACTAGAACAACTTTCTACATAGATTACTGTAATCTAGCCTCACTGCTGGCATTCTCTCCTTTGGATGGCCAAAGGAGAGAAATCAGAATTCAGATAGGAGCAGTTTAGGTATCTTTTGTTTTCATTTTTATGACTTTTAAAATAATTTTTAAAAACTTCTCTTAGAGTTGACATCTCACTCTGTTGCCCAGGCCAGGGTACAGTGACATGCTCATGGGTCAGGCGATCCTTCTGTCTCAGCCTTACAAGTAACTGGAACTACAGGCATGCTCCACCACTCCCGGATCTTTTGATTTATTACAAAGATGAGATCTTGCCAAGTTGCCCAGGCTGGTCTCAGACCCCTGAGCTCAGACAGTCCTCTTGCCTCCACTTCCCAAAGTACTGGGATTACAGGCATGAGCTATTGTACCCAGTTTATTTTTAATTTTTGATTTTTTAAAAAACATTTACTTTTGTAGAGATGTGGTCTTGCTATGTATCTAGGCTGGACTCAAATTCATGGCTTCAAATAATCCTACCTTGGCTTCCCAAAGTGCTGAGATTACAGGTGTGAGCCACTTTGCCTGGCCAAGGACTCGTTTTAAAGATGTGATCAAGAACCAGGTACAGTGGCTCATCTCTGTAGTTCCAGCTATATTCCATTTGGGGAACGTATAGTACACATTGCCTTATCTATGCAGTCGTTTTTTTGTTCTTTTTTTTTTTTTTGAGTTGGATTCTCTCCGTTGCCCAGGCTGGAGTGCAGTGGCATGCCCATGACCACCGTAGCCTTGGCCTGCTGGGCTCAGACAATTCTTCTGCCTCAGTCTTCCAAGTAGCCAGAACCACAAGTGTACACTACCACGCTTGGGTAATTTTTTTGATTTATTGTAGCGACAAGGTCTTGCCACATTGCCCAGGCTGGTCTTGAACCCATGGGCTCCCAAAGTGTTGAAATTACAGGCTGAGCCACTGACCCGGCCTGTCATTTTCTTTTTTTTTTGAGTTGGAGTCTCACTCTGTCATGCTCAAAATCACTGCGGCCTCGACCTGCTGGGCTCAGGTGATCCTTCTGCCTCAACCTTCCAAATAGCTGGAAATATAAGCATGCACTACCACGCCCAGCTAACTTGTTGATTTATTGTAGAGACAAGGTCTCAGGTACCCAGGCTGCGCCACCACGCCCTCTAATTTTTGGATTTATTGTAGAGACAAGGTCTTGCCACATTGCCCAGGCTGGTCTTGAACCCATGGGCTCCCAAAGTGTTGAAATTACAGGCTGAGCCACTGACCCGGCCTGTCATTTTCTTTTTTTTTTGAGTTGGAGTCTCACTCTGTCATGCTCAAAATCACTGCGGCCTCGACCTGCTGGGCTCAGGTGATCCTTCTGCCTCAACCTTCCAAATAGCTGGAAATATAAGCATGCACTACCACGCCCAGCTAACTTGTTGATTTATTGTAGAGACAAGGTCTCAGGTACCCAGGCTGCGCCACCACGCCCTCTAATTTTTGGATTTATTGTAGAGACAAGGTCTTGCCACATTGCCCAGGCTGGTCTTGAACCCATGGGCTCCCAAAGTGTTGAAATTACAGGCTGAGCCACTGACCCGGCCTGTCATTTTCTTTTTTTTTTGAGTTGGAGTCTCACTCTGTCATGCTCAAAATCACTGCGGCCTCGACCTGCTGGGCTCAGGTGATCCTTCTGCCTCAACCTTCCAAATAGCTGGAAATATAAGCATGCACTACCACGCCCAGCTAACTTGTTGATTTATTGTAGAGACAAGGTCTCAGGTACCCAGGCTGCGCCACCACGCCCTCTAATTTTTGGATTTATTGTAGAGACAAGGTCTTGCCACATTGCCCAGGCTGGTCTTGAACCCATGGGCTCCCAAAGTGTTGAAATTACAGGCTGAGCCACTGACCCGGCCTGTCATTTTCTTTTTTTTTTGAGTTGGAGTCTCACTCTGTCATGC